TGGTTGGTGTCATTTCACCTTAATTCAGTACCAGGTTATCATTAACTTGGTTGTTGGTCCCAAGGGGAGGGAAGTAACCCAAAACAACTCCTTTTGAGTTACGACAATAAGTTAAACTGCTGCACGGATGCTAGGTAAAAGCTGTTGTACATGTTTTGCCACCATAACATGACACCTGCTAGCTCCACTATGGTACATATGAAAGCATGTTAGCATTTCTTTATGAATATTGTTTTCAAGGATTATAATTGGATCATAAACTTGGGGATAAAATATCTGCATGCAGGTGTCAAAAATTACCTCGAGAAATACACATCTAGTTTTGCGTATCTGGATTTCAGAACTAAGTTTATGAGGCATAATATAATTTGTTTCTGATTGTGTGGGGCTCAAAAGTGTTTCACAATCTTCTTATGGTCTACATGAATTTGCAGCAGGTAAATTTAGTGATATTTACAAAGCCAGAAACTAAATCCTCCAGCCCACTGCTAGCTATCAGGAAATAACAGTATTTATCTACAGAGCATATTACACAAACAGCAATGGCAGGCATTTCCTGTCTATCTTGCCAAGCTGCCCCTGCACCCACCCATGGTCTCACTCACTCCTGGGGCGCTGCTCAAGGGCACCAGCACTGGTTGTTATGACCCACCTCCATTTGCCAAATTTAGTCTCCAAAACCAGCCACTGAGACAGAAATTTAATTAAAGTGTTATTTTCCACTGAAATGGGTGAGGAGTACAGTGGCCACAAGCTCTTGAACAGAGTAAAGCTAATCGCCAGCTGTAATGCACTTATATATGTGCTAGACATGGGTGAGCTGATTACACTCACCAGAGCAAGAAAATACAGAATTGGGGTAAATAACGCTACTCAATGTATACCATTTTCTCTAATTCCTGTTACAGAAAATTTTGCCTATTCTATACCATCTGTAAACGTGAGGATTTTGGTCAAGGTGTATTGTCTGACTTTTTTAGCATGACAATTTTCATAAATAGAATAACAAGATCTGACAGAAGGGTGCTAACAGGTTGTGTAAAATCAGAGTCAACTCAACCAGTTCTGCTTTTTATAAACTATTATAAATCAGAAGCAAGACTGTTTGAATCATCGGAATTTCAGTGAAGAAAAGCACTTCCAAAGACAAGAACAACTGCTGAAAATCATGTGGACATTTCTTGTGTCTCAAGGATCACAGTTTTTAGTAAGGCAAAATCTTCCCAACCCTGTGGTCCAGCTTCTTCTTTACTTCAAGCCCTCTATGCCTGCTGGACAGAGTATGAAGATCAGACATATATTTCGTTCTCCACTACTGAATCTGCTCTAACTTACTCAGTATTAAAGCCCTGCTCATGCCTTAGGCAGCAGTAGCTGACCCTTTGTATTAAGACCTCCTCTGCAGCGGATGCTTCATGCATATGCCTATTGATGTATTTTAGAGTGGAGATAAATTTTTATTTTGAGTATCTGCTTGTGCTTCAGATTCCCAAGAAAACACCTCTTGGATCTATTTTTCCATGCCATGAATTCCCCCCTACTTCTTGCTACAATGTATTGCTCTATTCCCCAGAAAAATCTTTCGTATGTCTATTTTTGTCAAAACTTTAGGAGCCACTTAAGAATCACTTTAAAGGGCTCTTTATCACTCAGATGAATTTTCCCCTAATTGTATCCTTTAATTCCAAAAGGGGTTTGGGGACATTCATTGTATGAAAGATACTGTAGAAAACAAAAGTTTCATAGCTAGTGGTTCTGCTTTTATATTTCCATCCAGGTAACCCTCTGCACACCAATTTGCTTCCTCTTTTCCAGTACCTGTTTCCTCCTGGGGCTAGTTTCTGGGACAGAGCTGTCTTCAAATAATATAATTATCCTATGGCACACACCTCTTTAGTCCCCCTTGAAATGGTATGTGATGCCTTTGGTTTACATCACTTGTTGAAAAACACTCCAAAGCATTGAAAAACTATTAAATTGTTACAGTATTGGATGCCAACACACAAGGCTATTAGTCTAATTCATCCTTCAGATCAAAGCCCACACAGGCAGCTCTCCTGCCTACAGCTATTTTCCTTTTACTTTCCTGCTTGACAGTAGTCCCTTATATCCCTCTGTTCTACTTTCTTTGAACATACACATTTTCCTTTAGTCATGGAAATATAATTTATGTCTATTATACTGTATTATAGACTGCAGATCGGGACAAGTGTGCATTACTGCCTGGAACGCCTGTTCATTGTACGTCGGGTTTCTAAAAATAAATAAATAAGAAAGCCACCCTGCTTCGCTGGGGGGAGAAAAATAGGAAGGGGGAGGTCTTGGGGGCTGGCGGGATCTGCGCTCTGTTCTCAAAGTTTTATTTCCAAGTAGAGACCTTGAAGCATGATTTATTAACATCATGCTGTTTGCTTTTGTCACGTTGTGGATGTGGCGGGGCAGAGGGGGGAGCGCCGGCCCCTCTCTAGCCTGGACCACCCAGCGAGCTGAGCAGAGCTACTGGCAGCGCACACCCTGGTTCAAAGGTTCACCCCCAATTCACCAGCTGCATCAGTCACCAGCCGCCTGGCTCCGCCACCCCATTGGAGGCAACAGCAATAATAACAATAACACCCCCCCCCCCCCCCCCACA